AAAAGAAAGTGCTCGCTTCGGCAGCACATATACTATAATAAAAAAAGAAAGAAAGAAAAGATAGCAAGTACCTTTTTTGGTATATTTCCTCATTGGCAGTAGCAAGAGTCTGTGAAAGCTCTGTGGATAGGGGTCTTTACAAGGGAAGACGGATCCTAAAAAGTATTTGGTTCCATCACTTAGCACAGCACTAGAACACTCAAATTATTAAGCGAGGCTTTCTGGAGTTCACCAAATCTCATTATTATTAGTCAATCTTAGCCAGAGCAATGTTCTACGTTTCCTCATAATGTGGACTGTCTTTAGTTTCAGTGACTTAAGGTTTATTGTCATTCTTTCTACAGCCAGAAAGCCAGAATAAGAGAAGCTAAGACTGCCACACTTGAGAAGGACACAATAGAAGTGCTGGCAAGATTCATGTTTTAATAACCAGAAATAGCTTCAATGACTCAGAGAATAATTTCATACATAGAAAAAATTTCTATTTTCTATTTTTCATATATCTCTATTCATATATTTGAATTTTTAACATCTTAGGACTTTAGATGTTTGAATCTCTATGTTGGTCCTAAAGGAGTTTGATTACACTGGTGTGACCCTACTGGGGAATAATAATCTTCATGCTAATCTGGCCAGTAAATATAAAAAGGTGACTAATAACCAGGGAAATACAAATTAAGACCACAATGAGGTAGCAAGTCTCACCATTATAATTATTTACAATGTAATTGTGATAATACTAAGTGTTATAAAGATGTAGGGCAACCAGAATCTTATGGTAGGAATGCAGATCTGGACAATCACTTTGATAAACAACTGACAATATCTACAGATGCTCCTCAACTTATGATGTGATAACATCCCTATAAATTCATAGTAAACTGAAAATATCTTAAGTTGGAAATGCATTTAATACATCCAACCTACCCTATCGAATACCATAGGTTAGCTTGGCCTCCCTAAAATGTGCTCAGAACACACACATTAGCCTGCAGTTGAGGAAAATCGTCTAACACAAAGCCCATTTTATACTAAAATGTTGAAAATCTCATGTAATTTATTAAACGTTGTAATGAATGTGAAAAACAAAATGGCTTCATGAGTACTCAAAGTATGATTTCTATTGAGTGTGATCACTTTCACACCATCATGATGTCAAAATATAATAAGTCAAAAATTCTGAGTTGTGAACTATCTATAGTAATTAAAAAGTGTATATACTTTATTTATTTAGTGATATAATTATAAAGTACATTTCCTACAGAAACTCTCATACATGTATACTAGTCATATCTACCAAAGGTTAATTTAAGTGTTCGTTGCTTAAGAAAAGTTGAAATAATTACATGTTTCTTAATAGTTGACTGGATAAGTAATTGTGTTGTATTCATACAATGGAAATCTAAATAAATTTAAACAATTCATTTTCACAACAAAATATTAAAGCAAAAAAAAAAAAAAAAAAAAAAAAAAAAAAAAAAAAAAAAAAAAAAAAAAAAAAAAAAAAAAAAAAAAAAAAAAAAAAAAAAGAAAACCAGGAAAGAATCATACATTCTGACACAATTGAAATAAATTTCAAAAAATGCAAAGATAAATTTAAGTTTGCAGCGATATGAAGTATATGAAGAAATGCATGTGAATTAATAACATTGCATTAAGGTACCTCTAGAGAGAAAAGGATAAGATTGTAGGAAATATTATCTGTATAGGGCATCAACTGTACAGATAATATTTTATTTCTTAAGTTATTTGGCATATAGAAATTTATTGTATTACTCTCTCTATATTTCATTAGCATAAAATATTTCCAAATATCTTGAAAGTTTAAAGAGAGTGGTTTTTATTCTTTTGAAATATAGTTGGCTAGTCTCTTTCAAATCCTTTCCTTCCAACTCAATATCCCTTAGTTTTAAAGATTGACTAAAAATAGGATTCGGTAAGCTCAAAAAGCCTAGTTATTGCATTATATGTAAAATTTCTGTGGGAGTTTCATTTATAGGCAAAGGAAATAGAATATTGCCTTGGTAATGATAAAGTATAAATATCTAGAGACCACTGAATTATTTTATGCAGTCTGGAAAGCAAGGAAACATGATGGAGGATAAGTCCAAGAAAGAAAGTTCTGATTAAAGCTATAGCAATGCCCATCAAAGACAAGTGAATTCACTACGACTGTTCACCTAAAAACTCCATGATGTAGTAACTGCACCAGATTTGCCTTCACACCATAAACAACTAAACATTTGGACTAAATATGTGAAGCAACCTTTTCAGCTACTGGACTTTTTACTCAGCAAACAGTCAAATAAATCTCTTTTTAAAGGGCTTACCAGATGAAATCAAGCCTATCTTAGATAATTTTCCTTTTCCATATAAAGTCATTATAAGAATAATCATATTCACATTCTTTCCAAACTCAGTTGGAGGGGAATACACAAGGGTGAATATCTTTGGGGTCATTTTAGAATTCTACCTACTACAAGCAATAGGCTAAACAATTCTCAAAGCTCACTCAGCATACAGACGTATTCCAGTTCTGACAAATCACATAGGAGAGGCCTTATTGGCTACAACAGGCATTCCATAGAGACCCAAGAAGTCTCATGCCTAAACAGGGCACTAACATAGCCCTGGAATAAAGGCTAACATAGATCCACCTCAAAAATACTTAAAAATAATGCTCAAAAAAAAAAAAAAAAAAA